CACAGCAGCTCCCTCCCTTCCCTTCTGGAGCAGAAACAGGCAATAGTTTCAGCACAGACAGTGCTTGGCTTTCTTAAGTTTGCTGGGTGCAGCTTAAATATTAACTTGGTCTTTTAAGAAATGTATTTTGAACTTTGGGAACCTCATCAGAACAGTGTTACTGGTAGGAATCTCTTGTGTGAGAGCAATGACCAGCACCTCAGTGAGCTTTGTGTGATGAGTGAAGTTAACTCTGCTGCCTGATGTAGAGACAGCACACACAAAGATGCACGTTAAAATCAGTACTTAAGGGTAGGAAATCCAATCTTAACTTGCTGTCTCCTGGTTCTAGTTGTATTCCCTCCAATGCAAATAATAGTATTTTAAAATATTGTGTTCTTGACAACTTTTATCTAGGAATCTTGGTGTACCTTACAGACTGATGCTTTGAGCTTCCCAGTCTCTTAGTAAAGAGACATACTGTCTGACACAGGGACTGCCACGGAATAGTCTCAGCCAGTGATGGAAAGGATTTGGACCCAGTAGCCCACTTCTGCATTTTGATAGTAATACAGACCTGAAGCTATCTATGCAACGGTTTTACCGCAAAAACCATCTGTAATAGCACAGAAGTTTAAAAAACAAAAGAGAGAAAAAGAAAAAAAATGAAAGTAGCATTTCATTTTCATAGTTCTCATTTCTTTTTATATTGCATTATTAAATGCATTTCTAAGACTTTCTCTTAAGAAAGAAAAGGTGGCATATTCATTTTAAGCTATTACTGCATACTGTTCATTAGTTACTGTTTAAGGTACTTCTAGTGTGATTTACGACATCAGTATTTCAAACTCCTACAAGAAAGGTGGGCTTCCCCCCCCAAAAAAAGCATCTTGTTTGAATATTGTGAGATTTGATCTGTGATAGAACACAAGTGTCCTGTATCTTTCAGAGAGAATAACTTTCTCCACGTCTCACAAGTTCAAATTTTGTTTTATGTACCATTTCCTCAAATACTACTGATGTGGTGAGGTATGGAAAAAAAAAATGCGATAATGGGTTCTAATTTTTCCCTTTATGAAAAAGTCCAGAGAACCCAGAGAGGTTCCAGAACTTTAATGTAATCTCTTCTTCGAAGAGAGACACCAGCATTGTGTATCAAATGCAGTTTCTGAATGGGCTTTGTGTGTTGCAAAAGTCCAGTCTGGAAAAGTATATTGAAAAAATCACCTTTGATAATTAGGTTAGAAAAATGTCTCTAGTGATACATTTAGTAGAAGGTGGAAGGTGGCAGTGCTGCTACTCTTTGGCTCTGCAAAATAAAGAGCAACTCTAGGATTAATCATCATTCTGGCTGAAAACAGGATACCAGTGAAAATGACATTACAGTTCCAGACAGCTTCTTGTAATTTTTTCCTGTTCTCAACCTATGTTGTGCTGGTCCAGATGTGTTTGCCCTTACATAACCTGCTTGTTTTTGTTCAGGCCCTCATTTCACACGAAGGCTTATGCAGCATCAGCAAAACTTTACTGTTCATATTTGTCTAGAACTACATGCAAAATGAAGGGCCAGAGAAGAGCTGGAAATTATAACAATCATTAATATTCACCAAAGGTCTCACATTTATGAAATGACAAATTCAAGCCCTTTGAGAGTTGGCAGCTTGGACAGATGATAGGGAAATGTAGAAACTGCACATCACAGCCTTCAGTGATGTAATGTGAAAGTGATTGGAGCCATCTTCAGTTGTATCTGTCCACTTCTGCCAGGTGTGAAGGTGCATGGGAAGTTCTTTTGATCAGTGGAGTTAACTGCTGGTGAATACTCTGCTGATATTGATAAGCCTGTGTGTCGCTGGGAAAATGTTCTGAGGAGATCAAGGATCCATGTACTCTATTGCCCCAGAGCACAGATATGGGGATTTAATTATGTTGAACTTGATTTACTCTACCTCCTCTGTGAATTTATCCAACAAATAGATGTCTAAATCCAGATATAGTTCCTAAGAGCATTAAAAACCCTGTTTTCCCTCTTACCTTTCCCAGTTGTCATGCTCCAGGCATTTCTTTTTGTTCTGTGTAAATGGTTTGAGGCAGAGGGTTCATCTGTGTAGGTAAACATATATAAACAAGCTATCACATGTACCCAGATTGTTAGATGCTTCCAGTATGTTGGGAGGCATTAACTAATTAGATAATCCCACCCAGCAAGGCAAGGCATAGTCTTATTCTTGACAGATTTGATTCTCAGAGGACTGGTCCTAAATCAAAGACAATGAGAGGTCCTCATTATCTGTCAGAGAAACTTTTCAAAAAGTTTATGGCGTGTAGTCATCCCCTTCCCCACAAACCAGTGTGTAAAGCTGCAGCAAGTATCACCAGTATTTGGAGGAAAGACTTGTAGATCATTTCTACAAATTCAAGCTGAAGAACCATGTGCTGGGAGCAGTCATTCAAAGGAGAAATTGAGAGTTACTTGTCACTGTTACATTCAGATCTATTTGCCTGATACTTGTTGATCAACACTCCTATGCATGGTCATGCTACTGTCACTAGCAAATGCTGAAAACTTTTAGAGACAAAGTTCAAGAAACCGAAAGCTTGTTCTTTGACAGCAAATGGCTGTAGTGCTTCAGTCAGAGGATGATCTGCCTTGTAGTGAAGTATTCCTCATCTGGGTTTCCATGCTATCCAAGTGATGAAATTTCTTAAGAACACGCAGATCCCCTCAGTCATGATTTGTAGTCCCAGTGGCTGAACCATAATTTAGGCATTTTTACTTCAGTTATGAAAAAGATCCATTCCAGTTTGTATCCATGAGTGGCACTGGAGAGACTGGATGGGAGACTGGAGTTGTTTGTATGTAAAACTACTGCTTGTGAAGATACTAGCTCATGTTGTACCTAGGACTTGTGTAAAAAATGTCACAGTGCAAGGAAGGGGAAAAGATGGCACATACCTGTACTGACCGTCCAATGTTAAGTAGTGCTCTGCTTTACTGCAACCCCAGTTGCTTGTTTTTAGTGGAAATGTGGAGGAGAGTGAGTCAGAAGGAAGTTCTCCAAAGCAGAAATCTCCCCAAAAAGACTGTGAATATCTGTTTTGTACTTCTGTCCAGCAGCTCGTCAGCCTGTCAGAAAGGAGGTAGGTATTCTTGCTCTTCACTGAGTTCCACATTTGCACATGACTGAAGAGGGTACTTTGAAAGATAACAGATCAGAGATGACACAAGACTTGCATATTATAGTATAACAAACGTGGAACTTGCTACTGAAGGAGACACAGGAAACAGTGGTGTCCAAGAAACTTTTGAAAAGTACAGAAATACAAAGTGAAGAGTTAGGTAACAGGTGAGCAGCACAACTCAGAACATCTGGTTTTACAGGGTTTTGAATTGTATTGTTCCTTTCTGATTCTGCAGCCACCACATTTCCCCTCAACTTCCCTCCTTTCCTCAGCTACTGTAGTTTGCCATGAACTGCACAATGAGAGAACATATACTGTGAGGGAGCACACAAGAGCTCAAGGCTGCAGAAACACGGATTGCCCAGCTAGCTGCTGCCTCGTGGCTGCCAGGCAGGCCTGACAGCCTGTGCTTCCTTGCAGCTGCTGGCAGACCAAAGCTCCAGGAGCTGAAGTCAGCCCTTGGGCCACATCCCAGGGAGACCTGCTGTAGGAACCTGGGGTGTTAAAGCCCTTCAGCCCTTTGTCGGATGTGACTAAAATTGGCCAAGAGTCACAAGTGAGTGGGAGCAGGAGGACAGGCAGCTGACAGCAATCACAGAAGCCCTTCCCCAGTCTAACCGTGACATGAGTAAGCATGAATCATAGCATAAATTGATGAGCTTAAAATTAATGAGCCTAAAATTATCTACAAAGATGAATACTGCCTAAATGGTCCAACACATTATGTGCTTTCTGCTTATTCTGGAATTGGCAGATTTTGGCTTTGGATACAGATAGGCTGACTGCTTGACTCTAGGCCAGTGGTAGCCTGACAGTTCCAACAAAATTTTTTTAATTTGGGCCTGCTACTTTTTTTTGTAGATGGAGATTCAGCAGGAACCTTCTTCCCTACATTGTAGCTTCTAGGCATTACTGATTTGGTGCTGAAGCTGGTATTTTCTTCTTCTGGCAGCTCCTTGCCCTCCAGCACTGAATCCAAGCTGATGCTTCAGCCCCCTCCCTCTGGCACAATTCCCAAGCTGTCATGTCAGATGCAAAATAAATACTCAGAGGCTCTGAGCTCCTTGCATCCAGAAGAAACTGCATTTTCACACTGGCTCTGAACCTCTTCTGTGGAGCCAAAACAAAATTAATGTGGAAACTAATCCCTTTGCCCCTACCACGCATATCCTCTTCAACAGTGGAGCCAAGAAAGACTGAAGAGAATTAACCTTTTCCATAAATTTCTCAGCTAGGAAATACCCTACTTTTAATTTTCTCTTTTTTTTTTCCAGTTGCTGCATCAGAGAAACCAGTCTTCCCTGAAGGAGGAAAGCACCTTCTTTCTATTCCCACTACTAATGCCAGTTTATTTTAAGGACAAATTTCATACCTATGCAGAATTGCTGTAGCTCATCTTGGCTCCCTGTAGCTATTAGCTACATCAAGTAGGTGGCAGAGCTTGTTGGAGTAACTACTGCCCACTCAGAAACAGCCAAGAATAGCTGCAGTCTCTCCTGGGGATCAGCTATACCAGTCTGGAGCTTGAGGGTCCCTTCCTGTGACGCATATGACATTACCACCATAGCCATGGGAATATGCTACTATGTGAACCCAGACAGACATCTGGAAATGAGGGCAGCCTGCAGTGCTGAACTGACAAAAGGAAAACATCGAGGTTTATGTTCTCCCCGACTTCCCTCCTTTCAGGGGTCACAAACTCCAGTGCAGCCTTGCACCCTGTTAACCGGTCACGCAGAACCCATGGCAGCCCTTCTCTCAGCTTAGGATAACTTGGTGCAGGAACTTGCTTGCTCTTTCTCTTTTCCAGTGATTCACTTGCACATCTTTTCACACAGGCTCCTGGAGTATCCAGCTGGAGAAGGGAGGCACTGTGGTGGTGCTGCGGAGCCTGCTGTGGCTGGGACTGACATTCTACCATGTCCCAATGACCAAGCAATTTGGCTACGTCTACTTTGGCACTGGTGAGAAGAATCTTGATCTGCCCTTCATGCTGTGACTCTTCTGTCTGTTCTTTTCAAGAACTAGAAAAGATCTAGATTTTATACTTAGGAAATTTTGTTTACTGCTTGTTCTAATAAAAATGTGAAACCTCTGCACTTTGAGCAGGATTCTTTTGTGTCTGGATGCTGGCCTTGATTCTTCTCCTAGGACTTCATTGTATGCAATCCTCCCCAGCTCCAGACTGAATTCAGAGAATCACAGAATATTCTGAGTTGGAAGGGACCCACAAGGCTTGTTGAGTTCAGCTCTTAAGTGATTTGGGATTGAACACAACCTTGGCGTTATTAGCACCAAGTTCTCTCTGTAATGTGTCACTGTGGATCCTTCAGATAGTAATAAATGGCATTTTCTTCCCTGACAGGCAAGCTCTAGGTCAGAAATCAAACCTAAGCCATCTGTCTGATTACAAAAGCACCTTGCTTACACAAGAACTAATTCGGAAACATGAATGAATACCTGCTGTCACCTATGAATGACAAAAACAGAGGGAGTCAGAGTAAAACGCTGATGTGTACTGTAAGAGATCTGTACTAAACCCTGAACTCTAGAAAGGCATATTGAAGAGAGTATTTTGCTTTTCAGATGTTAAGATTTCACCGAAATTAGAGGGGTCTTTCCAGCTCATGTCACTAAACTGTAAGAAAAAAATAGCTGTGGGCATCACCTGGTCTTGAAAAGTGTGCTTATTTAGGCTCATCTCAAGACAATGGTTTAATCCAGTGACTTTCCCATTAACAAAGCTCACTGAGCAGAGCTACCTGGGCTAGAAGACAGAGTAACTTCTGTAAGTATAAGAATAAAGAAAAATATTTTCCTTTCTGAAGGGCTGTAGCTTTCAAAGCTTTATAAAACAGTCAGCCAGAGATTTTATCTCAGTATGGTAATGAAGTCTTGGCTCTGTCTCCCAAAGCAAAAGGTCTTGGCCAGCTCAAGGGGCTGAATCTAGGGCTTTCATTTCACAATATAACGCTAAAAAAAACCATTTAAATCTAATTTGATTTCCTGGATAATACAGGTTTATCCTTACCTTTTGTTCCTGACCATGCTGATGGTATTAGCAGATGATTCCAATAAAAGCAATACAAGGTTAAGTGGCATGGTATTACCTAAAAATTCTGTATTGATTGCAGCCCCCAGATAAATACCAAAGAAATGAAGCCAAAACAATAATGACCATGATAAATTTACTGAGCCTTTCATACCAGGCCCATAATTAGCAATGGTCAGTAGGTGGAAGATCTGTAAGTGTACTACACAGGGAGAGAAAGGGTGAGATCTTTAGTTACAAGATAGATAATCAGTTCCAAACTATCCCAGTAAGCAACCATGTCACTGACATGGAAGATTTATGAAAAATTTACTTGCTAGGGGAAAAAAAAACCAGGCGGTCATCAAGGATGTCAACACTGTGTATTTGCCAGACTCAGGAGTGAAGCATAAGCCAGGAATTCTTAAGGGGACATGTAAGACACACACTTGTTTGCCACTGCCACAGGTGTTCTGCTGAAAATATGGGTAGTACAGACGATAATAAAAAAAAATAATTTCAGTATTCATTAACAATTTCTGTTACTGCTGAGAAAATACAGTGCTGCAGAGAAATTTTTCTTCCATCTGTGTCACAGGTACAAAAGCCCAAATGAAGCAAATCTGAGTTGAAACATGTTAATGGGGAAACACCACTCACTGCTGGGAAAAGAAGGAAACATCCTTTTCCAAACCCATTTGTGGAACATAAAGAAATAAAAGCCTATAAATCCTTTCTGGCTTTGAGGTAGAAGTCATTGCCCCTTGCTTTTGTCATATCATCCAGCACACTGAACTTTGCTTTGATGGCTCTTGTATTTTCCTAGAGGAAAAGATCACAGCTGGACACAATGTAGAGTACTAAAGACAATCTTGGAGTAAGAAAATTGGAGATATTGACAAACTTGAAAAAAACCCCAGCAGAACAGTGGAAAACAGATGCTTACTGACTATGCTAGTTCTAGCCACTAGTGGTTTAAACAGAGAGGCTTTTGTGTATATTTGACATTATCCTTCAGCAAAGGGTGTCCTACTGCATAGGGCTTTTTGCACCACTTAGGGCCCCTCTTCCAAATGGGCTTTGCAGATCTGATGGGCCAGCGGGTCAGGTACCTGTCAAAAAAACACAAACACATTTCAGTTTGAGACTGATCACTGAGAAAATGTTCCAACTGAAGCAGAAGCAAGGCACTATAGCCTTTGCCTCCCTAACACGCCTCTTTGTAAAAGGAATAACCATGAGCAGAGCTCCCTCAATTCAGAAGAGACCACTGGAAAGGAATTTTTGTTTATTTTGGAATTTCTAAGCTCATCTTTCTGCTGAACCCACTGGCACCTGCTTGACTTCCAGTTTCACAAAACAAATCAGGTGTAGTCTCCAGGCTGCTGGCAAGTTGTCCACCTGCAGCTAAACTGGAGTGCCAAATCCCTTCATTGCAACTAAGTCCAAGAATGAATGCATCCAGCCTCTAGGGGAAGTGTTATTTCAACAGCTGGTCTCAATAAGGTAAACTAATTACAAAGGCTAAATTCTGTGAGAAAGCTTCTAAAAACGAATACATTTACTTTTGGGGGGATAATTAATTATTACTTCTGCATGCAATGGGTTTCTGACCTAGTCTTGTTGTTCTATATGTCCAAATTTGCTCTAGTGTTCTCTGTACAATATTATTGCAGCTTGCTAGTGCAGGAAGTCAGCACCTACAGTGTAAGAGGTATTAAAACGGAATTATCATCACAACTACAAATCTCTGTGAAGAGTAGTGTCTGGCAAATATCCTCTGCTTTTTACCATTTGAAGTTTTAGACTTGGCTTTGCAAACAGGCAGGGGATTTCAGATCCAGAATCAGTTACTGGAAATCTTACCCTGTGGCTGGGTGGCCTGGAGTTTTGTTAGGCTTTAAATCTTTTGCTACCAGTAGAGAGGGGAATAGAGGTCCTTAGAGAAAGAGGAGTCTTTTCAGACAATAAAGATCCAAAGTAAAACCTTAGCATAATCTGCACAAACAATGCTCCAACAAATTAGAATTTGGAACAGACTGATAAACTTTGTCCAACGATGTTTGCATGCCTCTGTTGAGTAATCCCATGATCTTAATGTAACCTCAATCACTCATCCTCCCCACAAAAAGCTTTGTTACCTTTTATTTGCATCGTGCAAATTTGAGATATTAAGAACTTTGGACAGAGACCATGTAATACATTTGTTTGAAGGCATTTGGCACATTCCTGAGAACTACAAAGAAAGCCTGCTATGCCATGAAGCTACAGACTGCATAACAGCAGCCTGTTTAGCACTTTTCTTCCTCAGTACACCCTAATAGCACAAACTGAAAAATGAATCACATGTGGAGCTTTCTGCCTCTGAAACCAAGCCACTTTCAAAATGCTTTGTACTGAGGAGTTTATGACAGTTAAAACACCTAGAAGCACCAGAAGGAGGGGTCTGGGTGGCAACATAGCAAGATTCAGCCACTTGTTTTCCTATACGTGCATTAAACTCATCCCTCGTGACCTGTAATGCTATGCTAGTGCATTAGTGGAATCCCTTACATAATAGCATCGGGATAGGAAGTAGGAGAGACTTTCCTGTCTCTAATTTCACATGCAAGGGGAGTTCAGAGAGACCAAATGCAGGTCCCCAGTTTGGAATGTGGCAAAGGACCATTGCAAGGCAGCACCTCTGGGAGAAGCTGTAAGGGTATTAGATGAGCACATGGAGCTAGGTCCTCCTTTTCATATTCCCCTTGCTGCAAGGGGGGTGCCATAGCAAAAAGTTTGGTATTGCAAGACTACACTTACAGAAAAGGAAGGGAAAAAAAAATCCCAAATTGTTTTAATGCATCAATGTGCCAAGTGCAATTCTGATCACGTGTCCACACGATTACGGGAAAGTGCTCCTGTGATAATAAATGATCTCACTGGGAGAGAAGTGAATGTGTGAATGTGAGATACACATCAATGCTGTATGCAGGTTTAGACAGACAGTGGCTTTTTAAGAAATCCCTCTGTTTCTGTGTGGGGGCTGGAAGTGCACACCCCAATTCTGCATAGGAAGGAGGATTTAGTAATGGCCTGATTTTAAAGCTTTTGTTATTTCTCTTTTGAGCAGGTCTAATCCAGCCCTCTGGTCCAGGCTTTTGGCTTCCTTTGGGGACTGCAGGCTGGGGCTTTTCATTGTTAGCTGAAACAGACATTTGGACGCTTTCCCTTCCTGGAGCACATTTAGGGCTTTTAATACTTGCTTTGTCCCAAACTCAAACTTGTCCTATTTTGTTTGCTGCCTCCTCTTTTTTTTTTTTTTTTTTTACCTTGATTCAGCAGTGCAAAAGCCTGATGCCTGGGAGCAGTCAGTCTACAAAGTTCCTTCTCCTCTCTGACTAACTCATTTTCCTACAGTTTTCACAGGTCTGGGGTTTTTTTCTGTGAGTAAGAAACAATCCACAAAACACACACAGGAGAGCTTCAAAATACAGGACTTTCCTGCAAACACTGCTATCCATGTAAGGTAGGGTACACTCTTTTCTAGCCAAGTCTCCCTACTTTTCATTGTATCCAACAAGGTTTGTCTTGGAGAGTTTTTATAATCACCTACAAACAGAGTGTTTGAATTTTCTCAAGTAGCTGAAGGTTGTCAAGACAGAGTCTTCAGGTGGATGCCAAATGCAGCTGGTCCTCAGTGTCCTAACCTGACACTTCAGAGCTCCCACTCTTGGCAAGGGGGGCAGAACTGCCAGTCTTGGGAACTGTGACTCACCTCAGGGTTCTGCCTGCCCCCTTCAGTATGGTAGGGTCCTGAGCAAGAACAAGAATTCCTAGACTCCAAGTGCACAAATGACTAGTTTGGATAAAATGCGATGGGAACCCTGGTGGGATTTCCCTGATGGGAAAAGGCAAGATAAAATCAGGATGGAAACAACTGTGAATATACCTGCAGCCATTGTCATAGCCTAAAATGTCTGTAGCATGTGGAAGTCGGTTTTCATAGATTCTATTCAGTGGGCAGGCCTTCCCACTTGGAGGTTGCCACTTTAGACCTAGGAGTAGGCACAAGGTTTCCATGTGCAGGGTAAGGGAAATGGGAAAGCCACATACACAGCTCAAGCAAAGACCATGTTGGTACAGTCCAAGCCTGAACTTCTGAACCCTCACTGAATTTTTTCAATATGGCTTTTGTTTGGATTAAGAGCAGAAGGCAGAGGACTACAGACTGCAGGAAGCACTCGATCAAAGTGCTGGCAAGGCTGCCTCCTCCCTGCCACATCCCTTCCCATGACACCTCTTGGCTTTGCTCACCTGCAGCCGCTCTGGCTCTTGACTTTTGAATACACATGCTATGCACAACACAGTTTCCACGCAGATGAGAGGAACCACATGCTGCTGGAGAGAAACGTTGATAGCAGGGAAACCAAATTCTGCTCCCAGGGACAAGAGGTGTCCACAGAGCCTGAGAACTTTGTAATTCATGAAGAATTTGTAGGGAGCCTG